CACACACACACACACACACACATTCCATCGATAGGATGAGCAAAAACGGAATGAATCTTCCGCTGAAACGTGGAAATATACACTGCCACTTTTTTTTAGCAAAATCGGAATGAATCGTTCGTGTGTGTGTGTGTGTGTGCGTGTGTGTGTGTGTGAGTGAGAGAGAGAGACGATAACTCAGAGAGAGGCTGCTTCTCCTACTCTTCCCCCCTTCCCCGTCCCGCTCCTCGTCCCGCTCCTCGTCCCGCTCGGAACCGACGCGACCCGGGCGTCTACACAACCTCGCACGCACCACCCCCGTCCTAGGCCCCCGCAATTTTCCCCCGCGAACCGACACCCCGCATACCACCACCACCGTCGTCGCAAATACGGCGCGGTGCGATTTCTCGCTGCCGTCCCACGGGCACGTCGTGCTGCGCGGTGTAATTTCTCGTCGCCGTCCCACGACCCCGTAGTGCCGCACGCGGGCCTCCCTGCCCAACTTTCCCTGGGCCCGGTGGCAGCGTCACGCGAGGACCGGTTTTCCCTTTTAAGGTATAAAGGTATAAGAGATTTGGAGATTTGGCCTGGACCCCGCCTCAAAATTTGCGGCCGCTAATATGCTCTTAAATTATAATAACTATTAATTAAGAAAAAAAAACAAACTCTGCATAATTTGGATCAATTCTGTTTCTTTTGCTTTGTGTTTTTTTTTTTTTTTTTTATCGAACATCGATGACGGAGTGCAGGGGAAGTGCTGATAAGAGCAGACACCCCCTCTACCATCCCGGCTCGGCGCTGGTTGGATGGCTCCGTTCCAATGCTGGGGAGCTGCACCTGCTGAAAATGGGTCCAGCGTTCCTTTACATCATCATAAACAGCAGCCAGGTGATGTGTTATACATATGCCATTATGTCAGGTTATATATGATGGGCAGCATTGATTGCACTCTTCTTTTGCAAGGGGATCGACTGCCCGTCTATCTGAGAGGTGGACTACTACCAATCTTCAACTGCTACCAAATGTATCCTCTACGTCTACTGCACCAACATACTAAAATCCCACCCTGTCCCTGCAACGTGGCAGAGTCCCAGCCGTTGCACCCTGGCCTTCTGCAAGAGTGAAGCTTCCCTGAGACCCCCCCTCCCACCCAGAGAAACTACCGCCCTGCCCCTACCGGAAAGTTCCGGTACAAGCAACTGTTCCCCAGTCCATACCCATACCCCGTAATCCTGAGAGCAAATTATATGCGAATGCATCCTGACTATGCCAGCGGCTCGAATTCTCCTCAAGAGATCATTATTATGTGCATCTCAGGTAATCAGTGTGCCCGGAGAGAAAAGCGAAGAAACCCCTATGGCCAAACTACCACGATCATATTGTTGTGATCGCGCAAGGGAACTTCTCATGGAGCGATTCTGAATCTCAATCTCCTGGTTTCAATTCTCGCTTCGACTTCGGATCTCTTACGAGCATTAAGATTTGCCTTCCCTTTTGCCATGGAGGGAGGGAGGGTCGTCTCTGGTGGATTGTTCCGGCACTCTGCTCAGAGGAACTTTTGATTGTTCATAGATTTTCGGAATATTCTAGTGGTTTCCATCTTCTTTTGGGCGCTAGAGAATAGGAGGGGATACCCGGCAGCTTACTGGTCACCCTGCTGAGGCGGTTGTATTCAGTGGCCCACGAATGGCCGATGCCAGAGCGGCGCTGGATGGAGTCGACGCAAGGTGGTGGCGCTGGATGGAGTTGACGCATGGTGGCGGCGCTGGATGGAGTCGACGCAAGGTGGTGGCGCT